TAACAGCATCTGTATCTCTTACAGCGTAGAGAATCTGGCCCTCAGTAATCCTTGGAACTTGTTTTCAACAGTGCCAACAATATTGTTCTTAAATACGATGTTCAGAAGAAAAGTTAAGTACTGTACATTTGCCATTTGTACATCTTAAAAACCTTGATCTTACTGGACTGTTCATACTTCTAAATGGATTTGCTCTGTTTGTATTTAGTGCACTTCACACTTTTGTACCTGCTGTGTGAAAATATGCCATCAATTTCAATGCTACATCCATCTCACCAAGTGACAGATGAATACTTTTTGTGTTTCTGCTTAACTGATGTGATTATTATCAACAGATGCATAAATAAATAAATAACCAATAAGGATAGAGCTCCATTAGATTTTCCTATTGATGGGAAGGGATGAAACATGACCACACACGTTGCCTACATCAGCAAGTTCTACTGAAGATTAAAAAAAAATAAAAAAACTAATGTCTAAAAATATTCAAGAACTTATCTTGGCTGCAGGTTATGCGAACATAAGAAAGTCTTTAACTTCAGAATATTCCAAATTCTTCTTGGGTTAGAAAATTCTGCCTTTGATAATGTGCTGTCATGTATTTCTTGAAGGAGCAGAAGCATTCAACTGCAGCTCTCCACAGTTCTAGCAGACTTGAAACTGCAAGAACCCTATTATTCACTTTGTTATATGTCAGCTGCTCCAAAAGTGATGCTTCCATAATGTAACAGAAATCTGATATTCATTTTGTTGAAACTCCAGGGGTCAAGGTGACTGATACCATAAGCATTCATTATCAGTCAGGTTTGTGGGTAGCAAATGGACGCTTATGCAGGACAGAGGAGCCAACTCAGAGATGAGAGGCTGTGTGGCAAGGGAAAGGCTGGTGAGAGGTGATCTACATGAAAAAAAGTAGAGCACAAAGTGAAGTGAGCATGGTCAGAAGTCTGCTATAGTCCTGTAGCTTTTCTCAACTCCCTTTGCAGTATTAAGTGTTGTTAATTACAGTCTATTATTTCTACCTTCTTATCTCTGACTTTATGCCCTGCGCTCCCCTGCTTGCTCTCTTCCCTTACTATCACCACCCACTCTTGTTTTCCCTCTTTCTGACTCTCTTCTCTTAATTAATCAGGGAAAGAAAAAGAGAAGCTGCTGCTGTCAGCTTTGCTGGTAGGAGTTCAAAGAACAAGGCTACCACTGCACCTGCTGCTCTTTCTTTGATTTTTCACTGTTGAGTGAAAGAGTTTCCTTCAGGAGCTGAACACCGCACTAATTAACAAAGGAAAAGACAGGGAGAAACAAGCCAACGTGTTTGGCAGGAATGAGGCAAGAAACAGAGATGTTAGAGGGAAACGGAGGAAAGGAAAAATGACAAAGGGGGAACTGGGAAAGAAGCACAGAGTCAGGAGAGGAAGAAGCAGTAAGGGAAGGAGAGGGAAATAAATATATCAGGCAGAAAAAGACAAAGAGAGGGAGCTACCAAAACCACAACAAAAAAAGTGGCAATAGTTCAGAGTCCCCTTAGGTTGCAGTACATGGTTCTAACAGGGCAGCTCTTGAGAGCGGTTAGTACTTTGGTTAAAGGCAGTTGTGTGTGGCACCAGTTCTATCCCACTGAATGCATAAAACAAATTAATGGGGCAGGGAAATCCTCCTTGAAACAACAGCAAAACACTTTTTGAGTTGAACTTTAAACCCACCATCTTTTATTTAGATATAAGGAGCATAAGTGGCTTAAAAATACAATCAGTACAAGACTGGCATTATTCATACTGTTCCTGGTGAAAGGACAATGCACTGTTGATAAGAGAGGTGTCCCACCATTTTGGGCAAGCAAATGTGGTGATATGAAGGCACAGACAGGCTATATTCTGGCTGAGCAAGTGTCTCACAGCTGACAGCAAGTGGCTGCCAGGGGTCCAGGTGACAGCAGTGAAGGTTTTGACTACTTGTGTGATATCCACTGAAAGACAGGAGAGAGGCCCAAAGTAAGACCTTCTGCAGCATGCGGTGGGACACCAAGAGCACAAACCATGGAATTTGCTGCCTCTAAAGGTAGTACATAATGAAAGACTTTTGGAAAATGAGACAAAGAAACATAGCAACCTTGTGGTTAAGGCATATAATTTCTGCCTAACTGCCTAAATTTAGGCTAACTGTTCCAACGTGAGATGATGAAAAAGTTCCTTATGCTGAACTTTGCAGAGGTGGTTGCTAGCTGTATGTACTTTGTGAGATGCTGAAGTAGCTGGTACTCACTACACCCATTAGTCACAGAGCCCTGAGCAGGTCAAGTGCTACAGGATGCAGTGTGCTGAAACATCATGGCCATCTCAGCCTAGGAACTTGATACTTCAGTTTGATATTTGTCACAGCTCTCTCTCTGTTAAGGTAACCATAGAAAACAGGGAATGTATACCTCATATAATAATCAAGAATCCTCAGACTATTTTTTTCCTGGTCTTATCTCAAACCTATCAAGACAGCAAACCAAGCTTGCCACAAATGCAACACAGGGATTGCAGACCTCAAACAGGATAGCTGGCTTGTGCAGCTCTGCTATAAGAACTCATACATAGTGTTGTAAATCCACTCTTGCAAAACCATTTCCAGCATGGTGCTGCACAGCACTGACTCCAGTTATCTGGCTGGTAAGTGAAACAGCCATTTGAAAAGAAAAAAAAAGGATACCAAATTCATTTGTGGAATGAACTTGCATAAGAAACTTCACTGAAACCAGTGGGTTTTTACTAGCTTTTGCCAATACTAAGTTTGGCCAATTTTCCCAATTTTAGGACTGTTAGGTAGGAGCAATTAGTCATCAGTATCACAAACTCCAGTTTCTATGCACGAGACACATGCAAGAACATTCACTAGGTAAAAAAAATAGAACACAAACAACAAAACAACACATACATAAGCATACTATTATGAAAGCGAGATATTACTCAGTGGGAAATTTGTGCTGTTCTGCAGAATCTTGTTATTTGGTAAGTGAAACCTGTCACAAGTAGGTCATGACATAGAAATACAGTTTTCCAGTGTGATAGTGACAGATAATGCTTTTTTTCCCTCTATGACAGAGACAGCGTCATAGAATATTTCACAAGTATATTGCTTCTACCAGCAGTAGGCACCATTACATATTTTTATAGACATTATTCTTGAGAAATACACCATGAACATCTTTATGAGTAACGGAAATCAAGTACCAACATAGTCTTTCAGAAAATAAGCTGATTGGTACATAAGAGAAAACGAAAAAGAACAGTAGGTTTTAGAGGTTATCAAACAGTGAAGACTTTTGATATGAGGAAGAGGTTAATGTGATTAAGATAAATGCAGCTGGAAAAAAAAAAAAAAGGAAAAAAAGGGGGAATGTGGAGTTCTCTCTTCACTTAAAAACAAACAAACAAACAAGCAAAGAACAAAAACAACCAAACCAGGTTCATCCCCAGAAAGTTTCTGGAGAAGTTTTCCACGTCCTCATAACTGTATTATCTTTTCTCTCTTTTAAAACATCGCCTAGCTGAATACTACTCAGTGCTGCCTTCCTCTGCCTTCATAGCAGCCAAGAGCTCACCTGCTGTTTGGGCTGCTACACTCTCACTGGCATTTTCCAACCTTCGCTTTAGGTTCTGGAGTCAGTATAAGGCCTGGTCCTGTTTAATATCTTCATTGCTGATCTGGATGCACCCTCAGTAGTTTGCAGATGACACCAAGCTGGGAGGAAGTGAGGATCCACCTGAGGGTAGGAAGGCTCTACAAAGGGATCTGTATAGGCTGGATCAATGGGCTGAGGCCAATTGTATGAGATTCAGCAAGCTCACAGGCAGAGTCCCTCACTTAGATCACAACAGTGCCATGCATTGTTTCAGGCTTGGGGCAGAGTGGCTGGAATGTGGCATGGAGGAAAAGGATCCAGGGGTGTTAGCTGACAGCCTGCTGAGCATGAGCCAGCAGTATGCTCAGGTACCCAAGGAGACCAGTGGCATCCTGGCTTGTATCAGAAGTAGTGCAGCCAGCAGGAGAAGAGGGGTGATCATCTTTTTGTACTCAGCACTGGTGAGGCCACACCTTGAGTACTGTGATCAGTTTTGAGCCCCTCACTACAGGGAAGACAGGCTCTGGAGTGTGTCCAGTGAATGGCCACAAAGCTGTGAAGGGTCTGGAGCACAAGGAAAAGTTCAGGTTGGACGCCGGGAAAAAATAATTCTCAGAAAGAGTGGTGATGTATTGGCACAGGCTGCCCAGGGAGGTGGTGGAGTCACCGCCCCTGGAGGTGTTCAGGGAACGTGCAGATGTGGCATTTACAGATACGGTTAGCGGGCACGGTGACGATGGGCCGAGAGTCGGACCAGACGCTTCTAGAGGTCATTTCCAACCTTAACGATTCTACAAACCGCGGAGAGAACGAGCATTTCACTCGCTTTCAGGGCTCCATGGTTTGTTTTAACTCGCATAAGGACCGTTGCCTTGCAATTTCTCTGCTTTGCCCTCCACGCACAGAGGATCGGGCAGGCTGCCAGAAGGCTGCAGTACTCAGACACACTGAGCACACCGAGGGACAGACACACGCTCCGCACAGCCCCCATCCGAGCGGCAGAACAGGAGTGCTGGAAACCGCTTCCCTCACAGAGCCCTCAAGCTAAGCCAGAAGGCCTAACAGACAGCCGTCGGCTGACAGCAGGCCCCCAGCCCGCCCCAGAAGAGAGCGCAGAGCAAAGACAGGCACCAACACCCACACAAACCCACGACGCCGTAACACCCGCAGCCGCCCAACGCCACGGCGCAGCGCCCGCCCCCGCCGCCCATCCGCGCTTCCCGTGCGGCGCGGGGCGGGGCGTCGCTCCGGCCGGATGTTGTTGTTGTTGTTCCTGCCCCGCCCCTCGCCCCCTCCCCCCGCGGAGGGTGACGGGCGCTTCCTCGCCCGGAGCCGCCGTCTCGCAGCCGCTGCCTGTCCGCGGCCCTGCTGCCGCCCGCTCCGGCCCCGGGACCCGGGCCTCCCGCCGCTCCCCCCGCCGCCCTCCCGCGGGGCCCGCCGCCTCGGCTCCTCGTTTCGACCTCCCCCTCCCGGGCTCGGCCATGGCGGACTTCGACGAGATCTACGAAGAGGAGGAGGACGAGGAACGGGCGCTGGAGGAGCAGCTCCTCAAGTATTCTCCCGACCCGGTGGTGGTGCGCGGCTCCGGCCATGTCACCGTGTAAGGGCCGCGCCGGGGCCTGCGCGCTGGGCGCCGGGGCGGGAGGTGGGGGGACGGGCGGCGGGCCGGGCTGGGAACGGCGGCCGGAGCCGCTGCCCCGGTGCCGGCTTGGGGCCGGCTGGGGTCGCCTGGGGCTCGAGGTGAGCGGGGAGCTGCGGGGAGGCGAGGAGGATGCGGGGCTGTGAGTAAGAGAGGAATGCGAAGCGCGGGTCCGGAGCGGTGAGGTGTCAGGAAGTCAGGTGCGTGGGGCCGTGTGTGGGATCGGGAACGCGCCGCGGGGCTGTCTGCCTGCCCGCTGCCCGGCCGCCGCCACGTGGGGCCGCCCCGAGGGCTCTCGGGGGGCGGGAGGAGCCCCTGGGACGCGCGGGTGTCTCTGCGGTCGGGTTGGGTTGCGGTGGGTGCACGTGGTTTCACTTTGTCTGACGCGGGAGCTGCTGCGAGTTTTGGTTTGCAAATATCCCTGGCGCTAGCGCCGTGAGTTGGTGTGGGGCTTCTCAATAATTAAACAGGTGAGGGTGACTTTCCTCGAGTTGGTTCCATCGGGCTCGCCCTGCTGAAGCGTAGGGTTGTCTTCAACTCCTGATACTGAAATAACAACCTAGAGACAAAGCACTGCACGGCAAACTTTGTGTAAATACTTACATTTGTGTGTGTATATATATATATATATATATATGCATTTTAAAAAGTATATTTTAACTGTTTGGCAGGACTAGCCTTGCAGCAGAAGCATCAAAGTTGAAGGTATTGTGTTCTACTCCTCTGACTCCACTGACCGCTGCTGATTTCCATATACCGCCCTGTCCAGAAATCTGGGTTTAACTTTGGAATAGATTGGTGGTGCTTTGATTCATCACTGCTATAATTGATTGATATTATGAAATGCTGACAACGAGATGGTGCAGATTGCCAGCTGGCTATAAACAGGAAACAAGATGTGATAGACAGAGAGGTTTAGAAGCTTGGGAGGGTGTGGAGTGGGCAGGAGGCTGTGAAGCCCTCTGAAGGGAAACATATCCAAAATATTCAGTGTATGACTTTGTATTTCAGTCTGTTGCGATCAAGAAGTTTTTGTCATCTAGTGGCTGTTTGCCATCTGTAAAAATAAGCTGGTAGCCTTGATCTTTTTCTCTTGAGCAGATCAAGAGCATGGATGGTTGTCTTACTGACAGATCAAAACGTATCAAGAACTGAAATTGAGGCAAACACTGGTTTCTTCTCCAGTACACAAAGACAAGTTGTGTGAGATCCGTTAATAAAACCGTGAGGAAACTTGCATACCATGTCTGTGACTGGTATGGACTTTGTGGCTGAAGGATGGCTGCCTCATTAATTGCTTATTAATGATCACTAGCTCATTATAGCTGTAGTACCTTCCTCAAAATATTAGTTCTGTAGCTTCTGGATGAGTAATGAATGTGAGCACGGACCTCTGAAATGATGCAATTGGATCTTAATGTACTTTGTTTACTGTACTAGGTGCACAAACAGTTCCCTGAATAGTGTTAGCCACTTTCACCTTTCCGCAGCCTATGACATTTTTCCTAGTGATGAGAAGCTTAGTACTTACTAGTACTTAGATCACTGTCAGGACACTCGCTTGTTGAATTTAAGAAATAGGTTAAAGTGTACGTGTCTAATTAGTTTGTTTTGCGTGGTATAAAAGCATATATGTGCTTTGAAGACCTGGCAAAAAAAAAAAAAATCAGTGGTTAAATAAAGCAAATACTGGATTGATCTGTCTCTGACTGTTGTTTAAAGAGGTGCTGACTGCTTTTGCTGTATGTGTATTTAAATAGATGCTCTCTTTTTCATTGTCTTCTGTTATATCCTCTGATCTTCTATAGGAGTCATAATGTTTTGTTTGAAATATGTCATTTCCATGACTACAGATTAATGTCAGAAAGGCATTTACTATTACTTGATTTCATCCAACAGACAGTGGAAATGTGTGTGAATCCTTTCTAAGCTAAGTAGTTAAAAGAGGGTCAAAAGAATTCAGGTAAATATTATCCAGATAAAATGTATGAAGGCCTTGCCTTCAATTTTGTGACTTTTGTTTGATGCTAAGAGTAATCCTCGTTAAACTCACTATTTGGAGCATGCTACAAACAATTCTATATATTTTTTAAAAAGCGTTGTTTTTTAAATATTCAGGTAAGTCATTTTCACAGCAGCAATATTTAGGTATCTTGGTACTCAGTGATAGTATTTGAGTTGGCATTTGTTTTCTTGAGGAGATCTCTTCTAGTAGCAAGAACCTTGAGAGCTGAGAGAATACAGAATATTACTTACATTAGTTAACTGAATTGAAAAATCCAGGGTATTTCACACTTTTTTTTTTCTAAAATCTTGTTAGGGTGGATGGAGGGGCTCAGGATGAGTCTGAAATCGCTAAGAGAATGCTTGTGATAGATCTTACTGTATTTTCACTGTCTTTTTCTGGGCTTCCCTGTTCCTATCAGCTGAGACATACATGCCTTATCTCAGGCTGTATTAGCTAGTAAGGTTGGGTTTAGTTGTCTTCTGCAGCACCAGACTGATAGAGAGCTGTTGTGATGCGCTTCTGAATGCCTTTTTGTGCTGTGCATCTTAGTGCTTCTTGTGTTGATGCAAGATAACTGTTAGGGGCATTGTGGCAGGGCAAAACCTTCAAAAGTATATTTTCATGGGAGTGAAAAAGAGGATAATGGAAGAATCATGCATGGGAGAGTGTTAAGGTGTGTGGAATCTGTGTGTATTTGTAAGAGTTGCGAATGTGGAAGCCCAAAAAGGACTTGCTGGAACTGGTGGATAACAGGTTGGACATATGCCAGCAATGCGCCCTCACAGCCCAGAAAGCCAACCTTATTCTGAGCTGCATCAAAAGGAGTGCGGCCGGCAGGTAGAAGGTGGTGATCCTGCCTCTCTGCTTTGTGCTCGTGAGACCTCTCTTGGAGTGCTGTGTCCAGATGTGGAGTCCTCAGTACAGGAGAGACATGGACCTGGAGTGTGTCCAGAGAAGGGCCACAAAATTGATCCAAGGGATGGAACACCTCCCCTGTGAGGACAGGCTGAGAGAGTTGGAGCTGTTCAGCCTGGAGAAGAGAAGGCTCTGGAGTGACTTGATAGTGGCCTTTCATTATCTAAAGGGGATCTATGAGAAAGAAGGGGACAGACTCTCTAGCAGGGTCTGTTGTGATAGGACAAGGGAAAATGGTTTCAAACTAAAAGGCGGGGAAGATGTAGATTGGATATAAGGAAGAAGTTTTCTACAATGAGGGTAGTGGAGTAGTGGAACAGGTTGCCCAGAGATGTGGATGCCCCATCGTTGGGGACAGTCAAGGTCAGGCTGGATGGGGCTCTGAGCAATCTGATCTGGCCATGTAGGTGTCCTTGTTCATTGCAGGGGAGTTGGACTGCATGACCTTTAAGGGTCCCTTCCAACTATGATTCTGTGATAGATGAGAAGAATGGAAAAAATGGTTTAGTGTCTCAACAAGAGATGACAAAGAGGAGGAAGATAATGCCTATCAGTTTTATGTGTTAGGAAAGTCAGAGCTGCAGCCTGAGAAAAGGTTGCATGTTGGCTGAGTCCTATACTGTAATTTTTTTCCTTTGAAGATTGCACCTCTCACCATTTCTTTCTCCCCAGTGTAAACAAGGGAGGAACTCAGCTATGCCTTTCAAGCAGAGACATGTTCAAGAAACACTTTCTCAAGTTCCAGGAAGGTTAAAGGAAGTGCTCATGCATAAGGTGAGCGTGGATATGTTGAAAACTTGGAGGTCATGGTATGAAATAAGAAAGGGCATAGAGCAAGCAGAAGAATGTATGCTTTACTGAGAATGGGGCATTGTACAAAAGACATCTAGTGCTAAATGAGGACAGCTGTCTTAGGAAATGCAGCTCCAGAATTTTATTTCAAGTGATTTTAAGACATTTCTTGCTGCTTTTTCCAGAGCTCCTGTATCATTACAGTGAAACTGTAGCAGTGTTATGTGTAGTTCCTAATCTTTTAATTTCCAAATTATAGCATGCAGTCAACAGCGATAACACTGGGATCATATCATTTACTTACCAAAGCATTTGAAGTATGGAGTCATCATTTTTACCACCTACGTGTGGCAACTGTAAAATAGAAAGCTCAGAATGCTATTGGTAGCTGGTTAGCTTTGATGTTTCAGTTTAGCTGTCCCAACATGTATTAAACATTGCCACAAATCTGGAATACTGAAGGTTAGTTTCATTTGCTTGTAGCTTTATCGAAGAGCAGCTGTATTGGTCGGAAGTTTCCATGTTAGAAAGCTGCATTTGAAGTAGTTTACGGACACACTGAGGCAACGTGACTGTTTCCAAATGGGAGAGTGGGAAAATATTTTGTCTACTTTAGATACTGGTGTTTTATTCTAAAAGACACAGATAACTCTGGAGCTTTTGAGTTGGGTTGTCTTTATCAGGCATAATGCTGTAATGTTTGAAGCTGTCAGTATTTAAATACGTCTGGATCGTGCATTTACAAAAAAGCCTTGATTCTGTTCTGCTGTTTTCCCAGCCAAACTTCAGCATGAGACTGCAATTATGTTGTTTTGTGATTTCACTGGAAAGAGGGGGATTTGGGCTTTTGCTTTGCCTGCTTGTGCCTCAAGGTAAAGAGTTTCCTTAGCATCTCTTGGTGCAAGGCTCAGCCTTGCTTCTGTTTGGGGAACAAGAGTTGCTTTGAATGGAATTATCCTTACAGCTGGCCACTCCTCTATTGTTTGAGTTCATATTTAATCTTTTCTGGGTGTTGAAGTATCGTGTACGTGAAGATTGCTTTGTGATTCATTCTTTGAAGATGAGTTGTTTTAGAGAGAACATGTCTCTGTTGAGTGGATGGACTTATTATGTATTAGAATGGTGTTACCAGGCTTGGCTGCATATGTGGATACGTGAGATTTTTTTCAGCACTTGGTTTCATCTTCAGCCTACTGTCAATTTTAAGTAGCTTAATTGATAGGGTGTGATGCTTCTGACATAACCTTTGCCTGGGTACTTGGTTTCACTCAAGATTTTGGGGAAATGTAGAAGGTCTTCCTGACATAGTGTTCCACGGAATTTTCAGTTGTGGAGTTGTATTTCCAGTAAGAATTTGTGTGTGTGTGTGTTCTGTATTGAAGCAGTAAACTTGCCTTACATTTCTCTAGTTAAGTTTCAATTTAATTGCTCAGTTTTGAGGGATTTATAGGAATTGCAGAGCTGCCATTCTACTTAAAATATTCCACTGTGTTAGATGCCTTAGGTGTAAGTAAGGTACTGTATTCTGTCAAGTGGCAGGAGTATGACTTATTTAACTTCTGAAGAACGTACGTAGGGGTTACCTATGGCATCAAATGGATAAGCTATCTGTCCTGGCATGCTTTTGCAAACTGTGGTAATGGACATTGCTGCTTAGAGGCTGCGTGAAATTCTAGTTGTTCCTGGCATGTGTTTGCCTTATAGTCTCTGGCATCTGCAGCTGTGTAGTGCTAATGTATACTTGAACATCCTTTTCCTTTAGTGCTTGTTTGACTGGGAACTTGTCTAATCTGTCTTAAAATCTGTTGGCACAGTCTGCCTCTATAATCTCAAGTGAAAATAAACCCAGAAATTTGCTACTTGCAGTTTAAAGAAGCTCTTGTCTTATCTGTTTAAAACCAGTCTCATGCCAGCTTCAGCCCTCTGTTGTGGGATTTGATGATTAACAGTTGATCATTCACCTTAACCATTCTCTTCATGAATCTTTGGACTTTGGTCCCATAACCCCCCCTCAGCCTTCTGTTTTCCAAGTTAATGTCAGCCTCATAGTCTTATAAGGCACCTGTTTCACTCCCTTAGTTAAATCAGTCTTCCTTCTCTCTGATTTCTCTCAACTCCAAGTTCTCCATGAGATGTGGATAACAGAACAACCAGTACTGAACATGTGGGCATACAAGGGTTTTATGGAGAGTCAAAATGATGCCCTATGTTGTGGTCTTAATTGTCTAGCTAATGGTTCCTAGTCTTTCCTTGCTATTTTTCATGGCTGCTGCTATTGAGCTCATGTTTTGAGAGAATCATGCCTTGAGAGATGTAGCTGCCGAACTAAGCTGAGCATCATATAAGCACAGTTTGCATTAGCTTTCCCAAGATTCAGAATCTCTTATTTAAGTTCATGTGCCACTTTTTGTCCACTTGGTTTTGTGAGGTGTGTCTGCAGTGCCTTTCCTTTGGTGCAGCACTTAACTGCCCATTGTCCACTGGCAAGCAGAGCCCTCGGTTTAGTAAGAAAAAGACTGTCTGAGGAATACCCAGCTTCTCAAAGAATTTCTTTAAAATAGTCAACTGTCAGGGCTCAGGTTAGCTCGAGCACAACTGAGCTGTGTAATTGGTCTTGCTTTCAACACTGAAGTCTTGAGTAGTTTAATTTCTGATTTGGTTTGTAGTTTTGGTGGTAAGTCTGCATTGGTTTGTATTCAGGAAGTTGTTAATTGCAATTAAAATTTTGACCTGAGTGTTGATTTCCAAATTAGTAGTTTGTCATACAGTTTTGTTATCAGCTTTTTTGGGCTGTATAGTCCCTAAGCTACAACCCAGACTGGATGCCAGAAGGCATTCAAGTTTTCTTTGAGATGTTTCCATTCATGAACCTTGTCAGCCAACTGTAAGGTAGAAAACAAACAAGCTTTTCTGTCTTTTTATTTTCTAAGACAAGGTAAAGCTCATAATCTTGAGATCTTCCATGACCCAGGGCCAGTAATTCTAGTCCATCTCAGACTATTTCATAGCTTTCCGTTCTCAATTGATATGGATGTTTGTTTGCTTCAAGTTAGCATTTAAACTATGTTTACTAAGTTTGAGAACAGAAAATACAATTCAGTAAACTAGTAAATTTTCTTTTCTGAATAAGCAAGGTGTTATTGAACCCATTTTTATGCTTAGGATAGTTTGGTGTTACTCCACATAGATCCTGCTGAATGACCTTTTCTTCAAGATGCATCTGTATGGGGTGGAGTGGGAGGATTTGCACTATGGCCTTACCTTATTTTCCTCTTAAATACCTCTCATTTTTACTATTTGATACTGTTGCTTATAAAGATTTTGCTGAGTTTAAGGAAGCGTCAGCAGAACTTTAAAAGAGGCTGGAGGCAAGATGAATTCCAGACTGCTTGTGATTGTGTGTTTCTGCCTGTTAGGATACCATTAGCAATTACCTCTAGGAAATATTTTTTTCCATAAATCGATGCTGTTCTTCGGGTTCATATCAGGTGCTCATAGCCTGTATCATAGGTTGGGGTTATTTATGATTCTGGTTTGAGTATCATTTTGTTTTTTCAGGTTTGGACTAAGCAACAAATTTGAAGCAGAATTTCCTTCATCTTTAACTGGAAAGGTGAGTATCTGTGAATTAAAAAAAAAAATTAAAATTTGATTTAAGACTTTTGCTATTAAAAAAGCAAAAGCTTAAGTTGTGGTCCACTCAGAGAGTAATAAATCACACTGTTGTGGTAATAGGTAGTTTGTTTTTTCTTGTAGGTTGCACCCGAAGAATTTAAAGCCAGCATCAGTAGAGTTAACAGTTGTCTTAAGAAGAACCTCCCAGTTAATGTACGATGGCTACTTTGTGGATGCCTTTGCTGCTGCTGCACTTTAGGTTGTAGTATGTGGCCAGTTATCTGCCTCAGTAAAAGAGTAAGTTGAACTATTCTTATTTTTGGTAGTCAGAATTGTATTGGCTTTGTTTTTTCTCTTATTTCTCATATCCTCTTTTTTTCCTTGTCAACTTTATTAAAGCATACTACTGCTTATGTAGATGAGTTTGATTTCATACACTTTATTCCCTGTTGTCTGTCATACCACTTAAAATAGGCACTGGTCAGAATGCTGAGCTTACAACTCAGTGACTTGTAGTTTAGCAGTCTCTCTTCTAGAGCCGTGTACTGTACAGCACTTACTGTTACGGTAATAACTCTGAGTGCTTTTAATAGCTTCTCTGTCATACTCTGTTTGGTATTATCAGAATTGGGCACTGTTTGTTGTGAAGAGTATGTGAGGAGTTTCTAATTATACTGTGACCTAAGTAGCCATATGCTGGCATTTACAAATGAATTTTCTAAAGATTGTTTTATCTTCCTTCCAAGCTGTAGATTAATAAGATATTTCTTCTTGCATCAACAGCTAGAAATTAGTGTTTTGTCTGTGTCTTTTAGTGTATTGTTCACAACAGAAGCTTCTTGCATGTGTCTGATTTTTTCCCCTCCCTTATTCCACTGCAGGTAATTTTGCAACCCTCCCTATCTCTTCTGTTTTCATGTGTAAAAATTTGGCTAATCTGATTTCACTTCTTTGCAAGAAGTCTCTGTGCATCACCATCCTCTCTCTATATTGGTGCTGTAATGCTTTCCAGTTCATGATGACACTTGTGTGTATTCCATCTTGTGTGATACCTGTTCATGCTGCAAATCACTGTACTGTACATTGAGCACTGTTGTGCTTTTCTTTACTGCAGACCTCATTTTACAGTCAGTAAATCAGTGCTCTGAGGTTGACAGTGATTGTATGCTTCTGCAATGTGAGCTTGTAATTTTATTTGCTCATCTTTTCAATATTGATCAAGCATTTTCGGACGGAGGCTTCTGCACAAATGCACACCTGCTGAAGCATGTGGTGCTGCTAAAACCAGAAGTTGTGCAAACTGGTTTTGTAGTTTCAGTACCATTATATACTGTAAAAGCTATGTCTGAACTCCTGAAACCCCCAGGTACTGAAAGCAAACAAGCAAGAAGAATAGAGCATAATAAAACCAGTGCACATTTCTTTTGTCTAATTTTTCGTGTAAATCTTAATGAGTATTCTCTTGGAGGGATTACTTTAAACTAGTTTTAACTGTATGCAGAATAACCTGCTGGTAATATTGGAGTCCTTGGAAAAATACAGTTATTGTCAGTTTGAATTATTTCAAGCCCTTGATTTTGTACCTTTAAGCTGTTATGAACTAGTGAGTTTCCTTTAGGGTGACTGTATATCCATATCCTGAAAGTCTGCTGCAGGAAATCAGCTGTTTACTTCAACAGATAGATTGGTGACCTAACCAGCTTGCAGAGATAACTATTTTCTATTCCAAGTCTAGCTCTGTTTGTTAAAAACACAAAGGAAACTCGCATCTCTACTGTTCATGCTTAACTTTCAAAGGAGGAAGCTTCTGGTGTTCCTAAATTTGATTCCTCTTCTCATGTAATGTGCTATTGTAGCAGAATGCAACCTGGTGGTATAAAGTAATGTTGCTTTTGGGAGGAGGAGGTTGATGTCTCTTAATCCAGTACTGAAAGTCACTAGTAATCAACTTCTTAATGCATTGTTTAACAGAGTCAGGAAAAAAAAAGTAAGGACTCATAGTATCTGGGGCCCAGGAAAAAGAGTTGCAGTATAAGGAAAGAGCTTCTGTGTAGGAACCTAGTGAAGCAACAGAGGAGTACTTCAATTGAGGTTAGTTGGGATGGGAGTTCTGGTAAGCTCTCTTCCAGAAGGATAAATCTGGAAAAAAGGCATGGATACACTGTTCAGAAGAAATTACTTAAGGAATTCTACAGCTTTTCTGAAGATGGGTGATTCAGTGCTGAACCTGGTGAAATTAAAGGTAGGTCTCAGCTGCCTGAACACTGTGTTGTGCCACTGTTAGTGGCATAGTGGCACTAGACATGATGCCTACAGCCTTTTTGATAGCACTAAATACATGTGTTCAGGTTGTTTGATTATTGCTGTGGAATGAAAATCCTTTAAGTCAGATGTTGTGGCAACATCATTTGTCTATATTAGCAACACAGCTATATAGATGTCTGTTTAGAGGGTGAAGAACTGGAAACTCAGTTGGGTGAGTTGATGACTATAATATAGAGGAGAATTAATTAACTGACTAATACAGGAGTGCTTTCCCAAATTGAAACTCTTAAGGCTGGAGCTGGCTGAGAAAGACTTGATGAAATGAAAACAGCACTTTCATCAGAGTTTTGAATTAGTCACAGTATTTCTTTTTCGTTATTGCTTGCAATAGCTTTTTGAATTCTAATGTGTGAATGCTATCACAAATGTAAATTATTTTGAAACTACACACTTTGAATGATTGTTTGTATAATGGGAATATATGCTTATTTTCGTGCATTTGTGTGAAAAGTTATGGATTTCTTTCGTTAAATCAGCAAGTCCTTCAAACTAGGAATTTTTTAAATCTCAGGCATTTGCAAGCCTGATTGTTAATTTTATCACTTTAATGTATTTCCATTACAATGGAAGCTTTCCCTTCACTGTGGTTTTTTTTTTGTCATTACTTTGTTCAGTGTAGGTTCTGGAAGCCTTTGTATAGTATTGTTTCCTTTCTTCTTTTGCAGTGAGGTATTAGAGAAAGAGCCTGGTATTCTTCACCAGTAGCATAAATGTTTAATTTGATTCAGTATCTTATTGCCTCTTTCTTTTAATGTGGTCTTGATTGGATTTAGATGAATAAAAGCTGCAAGAAAATTGCAGGAAGTACAGTCCCTTATTTGCAGATCTAGATTGTCAATGATCTTCAGCAGTTACACACAGATTGTACCATCCTTCCTGGGATAAGTTCCAGGTTGTACAGATGGACGATAAGTCTTTGAGTTTTTTTCTTTAAATAAAAAGAATGACATAGTGAGTTATAATTCAGAAATCCCTACAGGCTGAGGTGCCCATCTGAAGCCACTTTTTCAAATTAATTGACAGTCATTTCAGTACTAAGTGCTGCTGTTCTCAATGTGTAAATGGAGTAAATGATTTCAACAGAAACAGTAACAGTGAAAGCTATGATAGAATTACCATACCTCTAGATTTGTTAATAGTTAGTATTCTGCATGTAAATTGCATGTTTCACAAAGTTCATAGGCAGTCTCTTAAAATGAATAGAATGAGATATTTAAGAGCAATCTGTACTAATACTTTCAAGAGCTGCTTGTTTGTTTTTGAGTTCAAACAAAGCTGATGAATGCTGCTTAAACCCTGTTATTAATTGTCACTTGCATAGCAATTTACATCTTCAGAGAGCTGTATAAACATAAGCTAATTACAACTTCCAAACTGCTGATTAAATTAAACATGCAGTAGAGATGCAGGATTAAATTTAAGGGTGATAGTGATAAAGCACATTAGTTCTGTTTATTGCTGCTATTAATACATTTCATTTCTTTTCAAAATTGAAGAAAAAAAAAGATTTTCTTCTCTGCATACATGCCAGGAACTTGGCACTAGAGATGCTCTGATATGATAATACTTTTCCAAACAGTTCCAAGGGACAATCATATAAAACAAATGTGCTGCTTTTTTTATATTTAGAATCTTTTTTCTTACAAGCTTACATTGTAATTTAATTTGGAAAATTTTGGAAAGTTGTAACCTCTTTGTTTATTCTAAGCAGAAAACATGCAAAATTTATATTGGGTCTAGCCAATAGTGAAACTTTTAAAGAGGAATTTGTATGCACCTAATATACAGTTTTTTCAAATCATCTCCTTTTTGGTATTGATTCTGAAGGATGAGACAGCTCTCCTACAAAGAGAAGACTGCAGGAGATCATAAGTCTTCCACTGTAACAAATGCATGTGGAAAGTGGCAAGTTACTGTTCATTTTGTTCCAAATTCAAAAAATAAGTTAATAGGGAACAATGGTGATAATGATGGAAAGTCTTAATTTTAATGTGGCAACATTTATTTTTTCCCAGTTAATTGATTATCTACAGGATCAGCACACCTAGGATTCTGTGATATTCTGGTTCAGTCCTAGAGAGGCAGGATGCTAGAGACTGTTCCTTTTAGAAGGATCTTCAGTGTGCATGCTAGTGAAGTGCTGGATTTTGCAGAACCTTCTGAAGTTGTATTGCTGCTTTGTGCTGCCTTTCATGTAGCTTCTCTTCCGTTCTTCGTCCCTGCCCTTAGATAATTCTAACAGCACAAATCAAAGGCTTCCTATTAATAAATGAAACCTGGGAGTGTTCCTAGGAATTGGAGCTTTATAACTTGTACGTGTAGGAAGGTCTGCAGCAGGTGTTTGTCCTGTGTTGTGTAACAATTTCTAGGCATTATCAGGGTGCTCCAAACTATGGGTGGTTTGGAGGTTATGAAAACTTACTAATGGAGATGTCAGTTCTTCCCTGCCAGCTGGCTTCAACTGAATGGGAAAGTTTCTGGGCACAGCTTCATTTCCTAATACAGTTGTAACCTGAGATCATTGAGTTTCTCCGCCTACACTGGCCCTGAACTATATTCTGTAGCATGTTATTAGATACTTTGGAAATAAATGATCAAGATCCAAACTGACATCTTAGTAATCTTGAAAGGAGAGATGGAGGTAGAATTTTAATAATCTGCACTCAGTTTATAACTTCTCACAGTGGACGACACCAGATTAGTTATTTGGTAGATTCTTTTCTGTTCTCATCCCTGCTGTGGTCAGTTCTACCTTCCATGTTCCGTGTGGCCCTTTCTGTGAGGGTGTCCTTCAGCAGGAGGTGAATGCCTTTATCGTGCCCAGAATTAAATGTATTTGGAGGGAAGGAGATTTGTGGGTTTAATGACAGATTCAGAGCTGGAATTTCATCTTGGAATGAAAGAATTAAAAGTCCTTATTTACCAATTCAAGTTTGGAGTAACAATATTAGTTATCATCTTGATGCTTCAGGGATTGAGTCAATATATGTCTGTCCAGGAAGTGTGTTTATCCACTTCACAGTTAGGCCTTCTCAGAGGAATACTGCTAAGGTCAAGATTTTTCACTATAAGTTTTCTCCATAGCACGAAGTTTCCACCAGAAATACTTCATTTGTTTCCAGATATTA